AAGACCATGGCCTGTATCAGATGCACCTTAGTCTCCAGAGAGACACCGTTGCTCTTCAGTACTTTGGAGAGGTCCCTAACAGCAGACTTTCCCAAGGCAATGCGCCTTTTAATTTCCTGGCTGCTGGTGCCAAGACTGTTGTTGACTGTGGTCCACTTGAAAATGACAGCTCTTTTTTCCTAGCTAGTTGAGTGAGATTTTGAAAAAACAAATTGAAATTGTGTTCTTTTTGAAGTTGGTTTCTCTTGAACCTTGCCCGAGTCCCCTCTGACTCTTGAACGTTAGAGCTCATTGAACTAAATCTATAGTTGTTTATCATTGAATCTAGTCAGTGATACAAGGAAGAGTATGTTTTAGTGAATGGGGAAAAAAACAATCCCTGTACATTGGTTTGGAATGGTGATTTGAAATTGATGTCGTTGAAATACAAGTTGGCATTAGCTTGGAAAGAAAATCAGCTAATTAGTAATTGAGTTTGATTCTGAAGATGTTTTATTAAGAATCTGTATAAACTGCCTTGTCATACTAAATTTTTTACCTTGAGTTTTCTTAGAAGTTATTTTGTTGTCATTATTGAAAAAAATCACCTGGAGACCCCTGCATGTAATTAACGACCTTTACATAATTAAAGACACCTGTTCTGTGATTTCAGCTCTTGCAGGTAGTAAATAGAACAGTGAGTTAAACTGTTCAGCCCATGCTTTCTTAACAGTGTTTTAATAGATCCTTACAATTGCAGTTTCTTTTGGGCTGAGATTTTAACTGTTAACATTTACAATCTACTGCTTGAGGAATTTTCAATAAAGTAACTGAAGGGAAAACAGAAATAAAGATTCCTTAGTTCCAACTCAACAACCTTCTGGACAGAGGAGGTTTTTGAAGTGGCAAATCTGCCAAGCTGCTCGTAGTTTGAGCTGCTAACCTTTGGGTTAACAGCCAAGCACCTTATCCATTGTGCCACAAGGATCCTGGTAAAATGTATAGATGGCTGCTGAGTGTTAAGAAGGCACACGGTTCGAGTCCACCATCTGCTGCGTGGGAGAAGGCTGGGCAGTCTCCTCTTATGCAATTTTACTGCCTTTTTTTTTGCCATGAAACTTAAACCAGATGGTTATCAGTTACCTTTACTGAATATTCTGATCAAAGATTCTATTGAAAAAATCCAGATCAAAAAGGTGAAAAAAATATAGAACAGAATGACAAATTTTCATAGAATCTCTGGTGGCCTATTGGTAAGGCGCTGTGCTGCAATCCCAAAGCCATGCGGTTCGAATCCCCCAGCTGCTTTGCGGGAGAAGGGTGGACAGTTTCTCCCTGTGTGATTTACTGCCTCTAAAATCTGCTGGAGCTATAGTCCGTTCCAGCTTGACAGAACAACAGTTCTCTAGCCGCAGAATTTCACTGGGGGAATCCTTGAACCTGCAGCCCTGAGATAATTCTTAAACTTTAAACCGTGCCCCCCACCCCCGTCTTCTTAGAAACATACAGTAGTAGAGCTTAACTTTGTTGTTGTCAAGTACCAGAGAGGAGGAACTGCCCCCCAGCTGACCCTCCAGCGGGCTTTCAGAGGCAGTAAATCGCACGGGAGGAGATTGCCCGTGTTTCTCCTGCAGAGAGCAGCTGCTGAATTCAAACTGTGTGCCTTTGGGTCGGCGGCACAGCTCCTAACCACTAGGCCACCAGAGCTCAGTTTAACTAGCAAGGGATACTTGCCCTGAGCATTGTGGTTTTTTTTTTTAAGATCCTTATGAGATTACATTGACAACACAAATGGAAAGATTCGTTTGGGAGATGGTACGTTGATGTGAGGGAGGGACAGTGGAGAAGAGGGCTGGCTCACTGTGGAGTTGAGCACTACTTGGACATTTTGCTGTGTCCACTCTCAACACCACCTAAATAAGTAAAATGTAGAAAAAGTGAGGAAAGCCTTCTATAATCTTCTGACTAGGTCTCAGTCTTTGACGGGGCTTGACCCCTGGCTCTGACCTTCATGGATGCATCTAAACCCTTCTCCAACTTTACATGATGTGCGAAGACTAGAGGAGGGGCATGCTGGGGGCTGATTTTTCCCCATATTGTTAGGCTCTGGTGGAGAAGCTCCCTGTGCACGCGGCCTTTGCGAAGGAGAACAGAATGAAAGGTGGCCCATTTCCCCCTTACCTGCCAGGACACACGAGAGACATGGGGGCTTCTGTATGGCTGAGCCCTCAGGAGTTTCCCTCCACATGCTGGTCCTCGTGTAGTCTCTCATTCACATCCCTCCCAACTGCTGGTCTTACTGGCAACTTCTGCCCCAGACAACCGGGATTCTCTATGCATGCACGTCTGCACAGTTCTTGTACTGAGAGATGCTTGTGACCACTGTTCTCAAGAATTTAAGAAGATTTGGCTTCTTTTCAGTTTGTTCAGGTTTTTTGTTTGTTGATTTGTTATTGTGAGCATAAGAATGACACCTTTTAAACTCTTTTAAGTGTTGTGAAACCAGAAACTCGAAGTCCGTTCACTTGCTTTTCATTGTAACCACTGTCCTGATGGTGAAGAATAAGAGGTCGGTCACTCAGCCCCGGGGTGGGGTGAATTGAGATAAAGGACGGCAGATATTCCAAAGTCTCTGCTTGAAATTCCTGACAGGTTTCCATTTCCTTTGCTTCAGTAAGAATATTTTTGTATTCTTTTTTTTTTTT